TCCTTCAATACGTTACCAGGGCTTATATACACCGATAGAGACGTTATTATAACGTTCTATAGCCGAGCTTCATGTCGTCGAACATGATGGTCGTTAGTTTGTCTGTTAATCTCGTTTATGTGTTACTTAAGTATTTAAAGAATATAAATATTGCTTCACTTGAGGTCAAGTGAACAGAGAAGTAAAGAACCACACAAGAAAGGAGTCATGGGATACAAAATTTAGTGGATATCCGAATTTTTCGGAAGACTTCAGCTGTATTGACAGACGTATATTGGCTAAAATTAACATCTGTAGAGTTAGTTATAACCCTATACTAACCCTTTTTACCACCCTAACCATAGCCTTATGGGGTTGGCGTTAAAAATCATGTCGCACAATTGTTATCATCTTTTCGGTGTCGCACATTTGAGTACAAACTAATCACCGAGCATATAGTGCGACGCTGTCTTGTCGCGCAACTACCTCGCGTCGCGGATTTTCATCAAAAACGCCGCGCTATTGACCGACTAATGCATAAATACTATATATATATACTATACATATTTTATAGGCATTCTGTTATCATCGATATTTTCCTATTTTAATGCATTTCATACCTATTCAGATCGAAGTTAATCATATAGTGTCATTTTTCGCATCTCTGAAAGGTATTGGATCAAGTGATAAAAAAATTTTCCTTGGCATACTATGGTTTTCCAGGAGTCACATTTGACAATAATTATTGTCTTATATTAGCCCTGAATTAAATCACAGCCCAGAATCTCATCAACGCTTCAAACACGTCTGATGTGTTGCTAGTCTTATTACTACACCGCCACACTCCGTATATCTCTATAATGCTTTTTTTCACTGTTTCTTTAGTTGATTTACAAAATAGTGAGAAGTGAATGGTTGTGATAATAAATAACTGGTTTAGTGTTAAAATTTTATTAATCTGGTGTATCGTTTCTTCATCAGTGTTGAAAAAACATGCAAAGAAGCTGGCCTATGCCGGCCTAACATGAGATCTATTGAAGACATCGCTGCAAAGTCTGCATTCATGTTCATTAACAAGTAAGAGTCAATCAACACCGTCAGAGACCGTGGAAATTTAATATTTCTCCCAATCATTGCAATGTATTAGAAAAGAACAAGATTATTCACAATATTGGCTTTCTTTTGTCTTAACCCGTGTTGTCTTAAATTTATTCCAATAATCAGCGACTTTGAAGTCATTCTGAAGGTTTATTAATTAATGCTGAATGTAACCATGGGCGTCCCATAATTGCAGCTTAAGACATTTATGATAGAATAAATATTCATAATTTGATCTTCTAAGTACCAATTTATCTAATTTCTTTAATTAATTTGACCATGTAAAAGACAGAACGAAACTATGCACCGACATGACGGCCATCCACCTTAATTAACACCACCAAGTTTTTAACACTGACGTAATAAATGTAATTTCGATGACTGAATATCTAGTTTTTCACTTTTGTGACGAACTTCTTTTAATATAACTTCTTGAAACAATACCCTACCTCCACTAACAGGTTCAGTGTACCTCTTTTTTCAACAATCCCTCGTGTTCACCCCCAGCGTGCAGGCCCTGGAGACGCCAGTGCGGCCCTACGTGCCGGCCGTGATCCACGCGGGGGGCCTCAACTGCCGGCCCGCCCAGCCGCTGCCGGAGGTGAGCCGCAACATGCGGGACGTGGGTTTATCAGGGCATGGCGCAAACCAAGTATATATCAATTAGGTATCAAAGATAGAGCAAATTTAGAAAATTTCCTATTTTTATGTCAAATCCTAAAAAAAATCAAATCACAAGACATACTATATCGAGTATAAATAACAGTGAGGTATTCAAAAATTTAAATTTATGAATAATTTCGCTGAACCTAATCATGCCCAAAGATATTGTGTAGCATTCCATGGTAAAATGACAGAGTAGCTTCCATTTCTTCTGGTAATATTCATAAATCAGATGAGTGCCATGCGAAGACCGTGTCGATAATAAGAAGTATCAAATATAAATAAAGTAATTTGAAAGATATGGACATTTGAACGATATTAATTGTGAACAAGATGGCGGTCCTGTGTAAAAACGCTTTCTAAAAGTTTTGAAACGCTTTCTAAAAGTTTTTGTCATGCTTACCTCAAACTTATAACTTCTATGCAAAATTATTTCATTTCATGGTAAAACTTTTTTAATTTGCAAGCACAACGTTAGGAGTGACTATCGGAATTATTGATTATGTACTAGGAAAATATTTATTATTTTTAATTTAGTAGTAGGTATATAGTTTTAATTTTAATTTTTTGTTTAAATATTTAGTCATTTCACTTTTTTTAGTTCATACATTTCAATTTCTATACATATACTTACTAGATTTTTAGCCTGTTCTGAGCCTGGCACCAGAAATAATAAGGGGCTGTTAGGGCGCGTATCGGGACTTTTCCGGGACCAGAAATTTCATTCATAGTATGAGAATGGGAAATGACTACTAGCAAGGGAGGATAGGATTGGAACTTCATTCAATTTGAACACAATATAGCTCCGTTGTTATTAATGAAATTAAGAGACGGCAAATGATGGGACTTGGGATAACAAGATTCTAGAATTGACGGAATTATCAGGCCCGGGCAGCCCTAAGTTAATAAAATAAATTATTGTTGCATTTCCGTCTATGGAATTTATGGTTTTCTATGTACGTAGGTGATAGATAGTTTTGCTTAATTAAAGAGACTTAATTGGCTCACAGAGATAGTGCACAGATATGAATTTCACATTCACATCTGTGAAATTACGATCGCAAATTAATTCAAGACGATTTTTGACACCTAATCGAAATTAAAAACATTTGGTCTGGATTCATTCGAAGCACTTTACACCTTCAGGATCTTGCCTCGTGGATTGAAGGCTCGGGCGACGCGGGCACCATTTACTTCAGCCTGGGATCCATTGTAAAGCCGAAGGACATGCCTGAGAAGTAAGTGCGCATCTGATAAGATATGAGACGGTTAAACTGCTAAGACATCTTTGATAACATAAGCAAAGTGCCTATTTAATGTTAAATTTTATCAAACTGCACTCGTAAAAAACGTCAGAAAACGAAAATCATGTCTTTTAAAGTTTTTTTCCAACGTATGCATCATACTAATTCAATTTTTATTTTCTTCTGTCACAAGTTTCAATTTAATTCGTGTAAATTAGCTTTAATTAGCATATTAGCTAAATATGAGCTAAGTTCATAAAATGTAGCAAATTTGATCGTAATTTATCTACGAAAGCCTTTCGATAACTGAAAATTGTCTTATTATTAACTGCGTTCACTCATTTGCCATTGCTCCCACTGAAATTTTTTTTGCCCTCATTATATTATCTATTTGCTTTGTGCCTTTAGAAAGCTTAATCGTCTAACAATTAAAATTTGGTTAATTTGTTTTGTAGAACTTTTCAGGTTCTAGGAAAGAGGAAACGAATGTTCGAAGTCATCTTCGGGTGTCTTGCGCATGTAAAAAAAATTAACTAGTATGATATCAACCAGATAAAAAAAATAAGATGATGGTTACGTAATTTCTTAAAGATTTTTACACAGTAATGGCGCTGGAAGCAAGCAAAATATAGTGTTTGGACTAAATTCGATACTTTTTTTATGTCTTCTTACGTCAGTGGAGCTAGGCATCTCAAATCTGAACATATATTTTTCCATAGCTTTATCTAGTCTGTTCTTGAACGCGCTCATACTTGGAGCGCCAACGATGTCTTCGGGGAGGCTGTTTCACGTGACAGTGAAAAAATTCTATATCTTCTATGTTGATAATGTTATCGAAAGAACAGTGTGGGATATGAAGACAGTAAATTTAATGGCCAAAGGAAACCAAATAATTTATTTTAAAAATCACTACGTGTGGTTATTATTGGCTTCATGCTTAGTGATGAATATTTTTGCAGAAGATTGCTCTCTAACAAGCAAACTTTCTGCCGTATGCATTTTGTATACTGACTTCGAATACTTGTGATTCAGCATTTCCGATAATGCGGTAACCGGTTTACGTCGCAAAAAAGGGAAAATGACCGCTGCGAAAATGTTTGAGTGCCAATTATAAATATCACACTTTCGGAACGATTATTTATAAATGCCGCAAAATTAGGGCAAAGAAAGTTTCTATATGACCCACGTTTTAGTTAACTTCAAACCAACAGTGTTCATTTCGTTCGCCACTCTTGTAAAATACAATATAAATTTTCATCTATAAAGAGCTATAGGAATACCCGCCACATTCGAATAAACGCCTGGTTAAGTCAAATTTGAACTTGAAATTTCTGGATATAATTCAGGTTTTTTTTCTAAAAATAATGAGGACTTTTCTCTCCCAATGACTAATTCTCGTCTAAATGGATACTCAGAAACATATTCTATGCAGTTTATAATTATCATAATTATGTACATTATATTTGTCGTAGGCACAGGCACTGCAAGGTGCACATGTTCTAACATCACCCACGGCGGGCTGTTCAGCAAGCTGGAGCCAATTTATAACGTTGTTCCTTTAGTTCTATATGATAGTACTTGTGGGTGCATGCTCAACTGAGCAAAAGCCTCCAGTAGGTCCGTTGGCATTTGCCGGGGGCTCGCCCTAAGCTCTAAGGTGAATTAAACGACGAATTCAGACTTCGTATTGGAGGAAAACCAAACTAGGTTACAGAAATCTACATCGACCGTGTAGTGGGCGAGATTCACAAACTATAGAAATTGTTATTGGACACAAAAAAAAAATCGTAATGGCCTCAGAGGGTAAACGGCCTGAACAGGGCTTGTCAGCTACGGCTCAAGTCAGCGCGATCAAGACGGAGGCCTTAAGGCCTCCGCATTCACATTGGCTACGCTTGCAATCACAGGGCTAACTCGCTTGGCCGCACGGTGCACGCACTAGCGGTATCCAAATACCCTCACAGTACTCATAATCTGCCCTATTCCTTAAGCATAATAAGTTTGTCTTCATCGCAGGTCACCCTAAGGTGCACTTGTTCATCACCCACGGTGGGCTGTTCAGCACGCTGGAGGCTATTTACCACGCTGTTCCCATCCTCGGCTTCCCTGTGTTCGCCGACCAAGGCAGTAACATGATCAAGTCTACAGCCGATGGCATTGCCGAGACCATCGACTGGGACGATCTTTCGGAGGATTTGCTAAATAATACTATACACAAAATGTTGACCGACCAGAAGTGAGTGGCAACGTTTGTTCTGTTAACTTGTAAATTGGTTCTTCGGTTTCGTTTGTTCTGTTAACTTGTGGATGTTCAGTTAACTTGTGAATGTGTTTGAAGTTTCACCTGAAAGTTTCAACTTTCAGACGCTGCGCTTCAATTACTAGAGCCTGAAAATAGTATTTATTTTACAATTGAATTATGATCTGCAGTATTAGTTTTTTACGTTAAGATTGTTGTAATGATTGTTGTATGAAACGATTTTGTTCATAGAAAGACTTATCTTCGTATCCCATGTTGTATAATTCCTTCGCTTAAATTACAAATTGTGTTCGTGTTATGAGCAGAAATTAATGTGCAACGTAGCAACGTCAAAATTCAATGTTTGGCAACAAAGTAACGCTGAATGCTTCCTTAAGATATCAGAAGACTGTCAATCATCGCTCGCAACTGATGCGGGACCAGCCGATGTCTCCCCGAGATGTTGTGGTTTACTGGACCGAGTACGCCATCCGCCACAAAGGGGCGCCACATCTGCAGTCCCCTGTCAAGGGAATGGCTTGGTGAGTGCTTCATATTCGACTGTTTACGCCCGCTATCACGATAAAAAAAAAGAATGAAAAATTAAAAATCTTGGTATCGTTAAATTAAATATTCCTGAGCATGTCTAATTCTCACTTAGCCATTCTCGGCCGAAAATATCAATATTAAGGAACTAAATTTTTCTTCAATCAAATCGAGCATTTTCATTACTGCGCACGACCAGTCCCATTCCTATTTTACATAAAACTCTTTTAGTTTCAACTGTCACAACCCTAAACTGCCAGTCAATTTTAAAGTAATCTCATTTTCCAGGTACCAGATCTATAACGTCGACGTCTGGCTGTCCTTGATTGTGATCTCACTCGCGTGTCTCTATTTGGACATAAAAATATTAATTGCTCTGGTGAGACGATGCTGCTATAGGACCAAGACCACCGGTGAGCTCAAGAAGAAAAAAGAGTAGCCTGTACTCAACTTGGGTGATAAAAATGGGTCTCTAAGACAAATGAAAAACTGAAAAAAGAGTAGCCGTGGGAATACGTGCCATCCACTTAGACAATATTCTACTCCTGCAATAAAGCACATAGCGTCACATATCATGCAATTTAACGGGGTTACAAAATCACAGCAAAAATTATTTACATCCTGATCTAGACAAGTAGTCTATAATGAAGCAAGTATCGAACCTACTGATGCTTAATTAAATTTAAAATAAAAGTTCGAGGCAATTTTCGTTGAAAACCACCGGGAATATAAGGAATGAAAGGAAAAAATTCTTGTGGATGACATGGGTTTCATTGACGATATAAGTTTTTGATAATCCGCATATTAGTAATCTGATACATTTCTGTAAATAGGTTTTGTCGTAAGTTTGATGTCATTGAATATTTATTGCCTTTGATATTGTGAAGTTATTTAAAACTATGGCACTGAATGAAAGAAACAGTTAAGCTTATACTGCAAATATTTGTATTAGGAATCTAATATTAATAAGAAATAGAATTTTAGTAATTTTTAAAGTGCGTTTGAATTGAGATCAATGGTTGCGGATAGATAAGATCAGACTAAACGTTTACTAGAGGGAGGAAACACGTGTTCCACTTGTAACTCGTACTACAAGTAACTGGAAGGTAAAAATTGAATACACACCTTGTCAGTACCGAGGACCATTATAAAAACGGCGAAGAACTCCTCATTTTTAGAATAATGCCAAATGTTGAAAGTGCAATACAAGATTTTATAGTGACTATTTTCTCTTTTTATTGAAATGAATAAAATTGAACGACTTGTATGCTAAATTATTCTTTTTGGCCCAAACCGATTCCCATTCATTACTTGAAGCGATTTTTAGTTCATTGCTTTAATAAACATCAAAATCAATAGTTGCTAAATCGAAGTTGCAAACAAGGGTAGTTCGGGATAGTTACAGCTTCGGGATAGTTAGCTCTGGATTATTTTTCCCCAAAGTCATCTAACCAAAATTATCTTACTAAAGGTACTATTAACCCTATCTACATCAATAAGGCCAAACAAAAGAAAAGTTTTCTGCTGCGCGACGCCACTCAATGAACCCTAATATTTCTGAAAACATAAAGTCAAGTGCGATGGATTTAGTTATATGTTTGAAAAATCATTCTATGGAAATCGAAAAAGTAAGGTAAATTAAACATAAAAACATTAGCTCAAACGTCCCTGCCAATCAGAAATTATTATACCATATATATCATATAATAATGATGTCGGCGCTGAAGAATAGGCCTGATGTAGCCTGCCGCCGATTCTTGTACTTTTCGCAACTTGTCCACAAAAGATCTAAAAGCAGGTTCTTTGACCGGATATTTATAAAATGACATTAGTTTGAAATAGCTACTAGACTTCCACCATGTCCGATAGTGTGCTAGGCATTTCAAGTCTGAACATATATTTCTCCATTGTTTTACCTAGTCAGTTCCTGAACGCGTTTATACTCGGAGCGTCAACGATGTCAACAGGAAGGCTGTTCTACATTGTAAGGGTATCGATGAGGCTGAACGGCTTCAATCGAATCGGTGGGTAATAATGGACGAGTTAAACAGTAATTTTAATTGCATCTAAACTGATAGACAAGAATGAATGCTTAACTTAATAATTAAAGCAATGTCGAAGATATTGGAGGAGTATAGATAGCCGACGGTCGAGTTACAGACGACTGATGTTAGAGTTACAGACGACTGACGGTATGGTTACAGACGACTGACGGTAGAGTTACTGACGGCTGACGGTAGGGTTACAGACGACTGACGGTAGAGTTACAGACGACTGACGGTAGAGTAACAATAAACGACTGACGATAGAGTTACAGGCGACTTACGGTAGAGTTACGAACGACTGACGGTGTAGAATTACAGACGACTGACGGTAGAAGCACAGACGATTGACGGTAGAGTTACAGACGACTGACGGTAGAAGCACAGACGACTGACGGTAGAGTTACAGACGACTGACGGTAGAATTACAGACGACTGACGATAGAGTTACAGACGACTGACGGTAGAAGCATAGATGAATATAACGTCTCATAGGCCCACTGATAACACTGTTGGGGTAGTCTTGCCCTTAACTCGAGTGTTCCAGATAGTCTCCCCAACCGGACCTGAAATAGACACAAGAGAGATCAGCATGGCCCCTTAAATGTTTCAAAGGTACAGAACATAACGATCACAGGTCAGACAAGTGAAGATTATTCATCAAGGGCACATTACTAACCTATGGTGATGGCGGCTAGAGCAAGAGTGGCTGATGGCCGGCTAATGAACTCTGATTATGACTACGAGTAAATATTACCCTAGGGTTAACTAGAAATGGCTTGATCCTTACACACATGTCGGTGACTATAGGAGCGAGAAGAAATTGTGTCGCGTGAGTGAGATACAACGCAGATTTTAAGATCAGTTCAAGAAGTTTGATTGATATATTTACCTGCGTTTCAATATGCCTAGAAAATTTCAGAACCTTGTCGACATAAACTGCCAAACCTTTTTCTCGTTACAACCATGTACGAATATTTACTCAAATTCGTACCATATACGTACAAGAGACAGTCAAAATTTAACTTGTAATATAGGGACAGTTTTTACATTTTCATTGACGGTGAATGCTTGAATAAATAATCAATTCTCTTTGGCATTAATCATAATCATGAGCTACTGCTTGTTAACCAACCAATATGTGTTTACTTAGAACTGTTGGATTTATTCATAATGTTAAAATAAGTTATTTTGTAACTATTCTGACGTATTTGAGCGGAAAAGGCAAGGAACTTCGAAAAACTACCTGACCTTGCGACATGTCACTTCAAGCATACCGTGACATTTCGATTATATTTATTATTGCCATCGACGATAATCATGCGTACACTTAGAAAAATGGAAAGTATGTTATGTAGTCCCTGCTAATATTGTAGTTTTCTACTACATAAAACCAGCCTCCTCCTTGTTTCCTAACAGAAAACAATAAAAAACTAAACTATTACAAAACTGCTAATCTATTCATTTTCTAAAAGAAGAAAATCAAAACTAAAACAACATAAATTAGTTTTCCGTTCGTTTCTAATGGAATTGAGGATCAGAGGTACGCCACTTACTGTGTTTTGTTTTCCTGATTTGTATATGATTTGAATTATATATTGAAAAACTAGGGGCGAGGGGAACAATAAATGAGGAAAATAGTAAATAGTATAGTAAATAGTACAGGAAAATAGTATAGTAAAAAAATTAAAATAAAAAATTGAAAAAGGGATTCCGGAGTCAATAGATATATTATTTTTACAAATCTAGTGATATGTTTCTCGATGTGGTAACACGAAAATTAAAGGAGGAGATAGATTTATAAAAATCTTTTTGACGTTTTCAATTCATTTTTCGATTTATTTTAATTTTCTTCAAAAATTAACTAAGTTTCAGGACGATCGGTCATTTATTTCAGAAGATAGTTTTTACGGTAGACGCTCCCCTGAATGACGATAGCTCGACATGGTAAGGTTGAATTATATTATAAAAGTAGGATAATTCATTTGAGTTCATGAACGATACAGCACATGCAGCGAATAATTCATTGTAGTGAACGTACTAGGAGCTGTATCACATGTAAAGAGGAGCTTCAAACATCTTAATACGTGTGCAAGACTTGCAACAGTGTTGTTACATGCAGTTTAACTGGTGAAATGAACCTTACTCTTCATTCAAAGTTGTTCAGCTTGTATAAGCTCAACCTATTTTTCAAAAGTTTCATGAAATTATTTTGAACAACAAATAAATCTCCATTCATTTTTTGTGTCAATTATTAAGAATGGACCTAGATTTTCCCTGCAGTTGCCTCACCGCAGTGGGCCGATGGTTCCAAAACTTGCTGCGTGATCGATGGCTAATTTTTCGACTTGAAATACAAATTGTATTCGTGGTATGTGCTTAATTACACGACATAGTAACGTCAGCACTGAATGCTTGTCAACAAAGTAACGCTGATTGCGTCCCTAAGATATCAGGAGACTGTCAGTCATCGGTCGCAACTGATGCGGGACCAGCCGATGTCTCCCCGAGATGTTGTGGTTTACTGGACCGAGTACGCCATCCGCCACAAGGGGGCGCCACATCTGCAGTCCCCTGTCAAAGGAATGGCTTGGTGAGTGCTTCATATTCGACTGTTTACGCCTGTTACATACACAGTCTATATAGCAAGGAAATTAATGCATCTATCTATTTTAGTTTAATAGCAAAAGCTTTTCTTATTCCAACTTGGCTGCTCAATCTTGTTCACAAACAACAATATTGAGGCATAAAAATTTAAGGTTTAGCAGATCAAGCATTTTTCGAACACCACTTGCTCAATGCAAACTTTTAATAGTTGACCGTCCGGTGATAAACTTAGCACCAAAATATTTTATTCTTCTTTTCTCTGACCCTCAGCCGAGTGTCTTGAAGCGTTTTAGTTCCGGAAAGACTAAGGATTAAATTTTTCGCTTTTCGCAAAAATCAAATTATTTGAATAGTGACACTATATCTGCATGTAGCACAGATATTTTGCCGGGAATATTTTGGTTATGATGATGCACATGATATTGAAAAGTGCACCGATATTTGGACAAGTCTCACTCATTTCCATGAGTGTACGACACGATGAACAAACGCATCTCAGTCGGGGAAGACACCTTGCAACGTAGCCTGTCACACGCTGCTACGCGGGGCATTCATCTCGCGCAAATTTTTTGAACTTTATGAATGTACAAGAAAGTACCACTTGATGCCGCTCCGCTTTCCCGGCAATTTAGAATTTTTACTTTAAATTTTAAAAATTTAAAAATACTCTTTACAATTTAAAATTTAAAAATTGAATTTTGAAATAATTTTTTCAAAAGAAATTAAAAATTTTACGGGCGAACAGAATAAGCTCATTTCATTTAATAACGATTTCGAATTAGTTCAAGTTTGCCGTGATTTTCGTTGAATCACCAGCAGCGTAATCCGGTGGTGTTCGCGACAAAAAAATCTATTTATCCCCAATCCTGTTACTGTATCTCTAACCAAAGTGATATTGATTAAAAAGCCACCATGCACATGGCAGTAATCAATAATATACGTTTAAAAATTACTTTTTAAAGACAGCACTTCTAAATAATCCAGTGTTCCCAATGTTACAGATGTACAATGAATTTCTAATAAACAAACATGCGTAAACGGGTAAGGTAATTGATATGAAGAATTACATGATGGACATTTTGTTCAGTTATTGATTCAATTATTTCATTTTACGTCGAATTCAAACGCACTATTCAGTAGTTATGGATATGATGCAACTGCATAATTTATCATTCTGTTTGTGACGCAATTTAGTACAAGTATAATATTAATTATCCCTGAAATTGCCGAAATGGTAATTGGGTATATGAGTTAGTGACGCACGCAATAAACGGAGGTTCTTAACGGCCTGTGTCGGTCTCATCTTGATTATACAGAAGCCACGTGGTCTGTTGTGTCTTTGTTATCGAGTTTCCATCAGCAGACGTACTTCAGAATACGCTGTTCAAATTTATCACATATTAAATTTTCTTAAAGATTGTATTTCAGTGGCGCACAATTTACAAAGTACTCGCTTTCTCGCACGCAACGCCTCGAAATTAGACTATCACCAAAGTATTGCAAATCACGGCCAAGAGTTCAGCGCAGCTGTTATGTCAATGAAAGAAATTTCCTAAAGTGAGTAATTTTATATTCATGAATATTAATCAACAGTCGATAATATCCACATGGATATCAT